CAGGTTTCCTTTAGTAATGGAATTGTGACTTATAAAGAAGCATGTACTGGAAACTCTTGTTCTTTGTATATTGAACATAAATAGGTGTGTTTCCCTTAGCTGGTAGACAACAGGAAGTTGTGATCATTTCCTTGAGAAACATTAACCCAAGTCCCCACCCAGAGATGGGTCACTGGTGATTGTTTCTTTTGGATGAAAGGAGGAGGAACAAAACAAAATAGGAGAGATGAAGGCAATAAAATGAAAATCTGAGCTCTCTCCCGGATATGTGGGTGGATAAGTGGGGCCTGGCTTTGGAAAACTAGTATTTCAGGAAAGTCCTTTCCTTTGCTCAAGGTATTATTACTCACCCACTTCACCACTGCCAACTCCTGAATGTGAACAGTAGATTAAACAAGGTGAAGAGGACCCGCTGACGTATACTTAAAACTTGTCCGCTGTTCCTGACATGGAAATGTGACACTCTTGAGATTCAGGCAGAAGAGGTTTGTGCACATGACTTCCAAGCTTTCTTCCAGCTCTTCTGGCCTCCATGATTTCTCTCCATTCCAATTGACCAGCCCCACTCTTAAAATTTTTGGCTCATGGAAATTTTGTAGAAGCAGAGGAAAATTCTGGAGATCTCCCCTGAAGTATGTCCATATCCACAATATTTGTGCACACTTCAGGTGGGTCATGAGCCCCTCTGAAGCTACTGTTGTAAATCCTTACCACCTAATCTGCTCAAAAACCTTCAAAAACTCCCCATGGCCTACCAAATACATGCTTAAGACCTGTTGGCTGCCTTTCAAAGCGCCCCACGCTATGTACCCTACCTATCCTTTCAAGAGCATCTCCCAAAATTCATTTATTTAGCTTAACAGGTAATAAATGTCTATTCCTTACAAAACATTAAAGTTATACATTGTAGGCATAGGTGTATGTTCATGTATACATGCAAATATATCAATCTCAGAATATATAAATACATAATATTATAATATATACAGAAATATATCTGATATATCTAATAATACATTACAATACTGTAATATATAAAATATAAAACATATTAGATATGGAAGAATAACAAAGATGTATAATATACAGGACTTGCTCACTATGATTGCTTTATAATTTGCATATATTATCGCTGCTACTATATTATAAGCTACAAGGTAGGGGGAAATGTGTTTTATCTCTCTTTGGTTATCCGAGGGTCCTCAGAATAGTGTCATGTATAGAATAAATGATCAGTAAAAGTTCAGAGAACACATAACATTCTTAATTAGGAATTAAATTGACAGGTTAAGGCGACTATGTACACCAACAGCTTTGATAAATTATCAAAGCTAAGTTAACCACCCTCTGTAGGGAATACTTAATGCCAACTTCCTAGAATAGAGATAAAATATATGGGAAAAAACAGCTCTAAAAACTTTTGTAAAAACAAACCAGAATCCTATATGGAGAGAAGAGTAACCACAGAGCAAGTTATATAGAATATCATGCTTGTAATTAAAAACTCAGCTTTATTGTCACCCTTTCAGAAACTATTCAGTCTAAGGTAACTAATTTCTAGCACACTCCTCTATTTTCATTCTTTGCATATCACTTATAACCATCTGATATTTTTCCTTTTCAGCTGATTGATTGATGAATTGATTGATTTTCAAATTGCTTGTCTCCTCCCACCAGAATGTGAACTCTAGAGGACCAGGGACCTTGTGTGACTTGTTTCCTCGCTATAGACACAACTATACACCTAGAGCTATATCTTGCACAAAGCTGGTAGACAAATAAATACCTGCCAAATAAAGGAACACATTCACAAAAATAATACTATGTATTATCTATGGATGTTTATGTACCTTTGCAAAAATATAAAAGGTATTGGAAGTGTAAACAAGAATCTTTGGGGGTGGGGTAAGTATTGAGCGGTCAGGGTCTTGGAGGATAGAACTCAGCACGGTAGTTAAAGGAGACTTTACTTACATGAGAAATGGTTTATTTCTTTAAGAAAATAGACAAGAAGCACGAGATGACAAACATTAACTATTCTGGTGGTGAGAATTTGAGTGTCTGTTATATTGCTTTTTGTACTTTTCTCTATCTTTTAAATTTCTCAAAACAATTTTTTTTAAAGGTCTGAATAGAGAAGAGTGAATTTATCCCAGCTTTACAGGATCTAAAGCTCTCTGATGTGCTGTTACCTATACTTGATCATTACAGTAATTCTGACGTAATTATTACCAGCCTTATTTTATACAGGAGGAAAATGAGACCAAGCTTGATAAGGGGGCTTGCCGATAAGGGCAATGCTCGGCTGAGAACCTGACCTAGGGATGATTTCTCTTTCAAGAGATAACATCACTGCCCCATCAAACATGAGGGCTAGACCAGAGGTTAAAAAAAAAACAATTACCTTTGAGGCCAATAGGCAACAGACCTAGAAGAGTTAAATCTAAATTGACGAACAACAAATAGGTAAATATTTTAATACAAATAGAAAATATGCCTCACATGATCTTAGGCAAGTTCCTTAAAATTTTAAGGCTTGTTTTCCTCTCCTATAAAATAGGGTATTTACTTACCTCATTTGATTCTTTTTTTTTTTGCACTGGGTCTTAGTTGAGGCTCGCGGGCTCCTTAGTTGTGGCTCGCCGGCTCCTTAGTTGCAGTACATGGGCTCCTTAGTTGTGGCTTGCCAGCTCCTTAGTTGTGGCATGAGAAGTCTTAGCTGCAGCATGCATGTGGGATCTAGTTCCCTGAGCAGGGATTGAACCCAAACCCCTGCATTGGGAGCGTGGAGTCTTATCCACTGCCCCACCAGGGAAGTCCCATTACCTCATTTGCTTCTTGTGAGCATTGTATAATTTATGTATTTATGTATGACATAAATTATATAATATATATATAAAAGACACAGCGTAGTATCTGGCACTTAATAGATTGTTCAATATTTGTGTGTTTCCTCTCAGTTTCTTATGCTGCCATGTATTATGTTGAACAGTTAGAAATTGCCTTTTTTTTTAGTAAAAATCATTGAATATGGACAATTTTGTGAGGTTCATGCTGCTACTCTTTGAATGTGACCTCTGATAACAACCATCAGCTACCTCATCCTGAATTCACACATGAGAGAAGGGCAGAGCAGAGTTTGAATAAAACTGATGATTGTTTGGGGCTTGGGCTGGAGAGTCTATTTGCAAGGATAGATAAAAGGGATTTGCAACTGTGTAAGGAGGAGAAGGATAGTCCAATGGGCAGAGAAGGGTTTACATAATCAGGGTTAGGCAACTGCAAGCTAGACAGCTGCTCAATAGCTTTTGGCACCAAAATATATTGACCAGCTGGGATATCATTAATGCTTAACAGTTTTATCCTCATGACCATACCTTGGCCAATTAGGTTGTCTTTGACCACCGAAGGGTATGATATATTCTGATGTAAATGCCACATGTGTATCTGTGTAGCACGTATCCTGTTGCTTTGATGTGTTGTAGAATACACACTAAATATAAATGCATTCGTTTCTTCAGAACACAAGGTTAAATGCTGTGATTAAAGAGGAATAGAATTTAAATAGGCATTCATTTCCTTTAAAAAACAATTATTATTCTGAGAAATACTTTTTTGTATATTCGGAAAGTAAAGGGATTCAAATAAAATTATTTTCAAGATGAATTTTTAGAGAATGATTTTAGAAAAAGAAATACAGGTAAGGAAAGCCAGTTCTGCACATTTTTCATACAAATAAATACAGACAGGAGAAATGTAACGACTAAAAGACAGTGATTGAAGGACCTTAACAGAAAGCTGTTTGCAGTGTTAAAAGAAACACTTGGACCAGTGTCATTAGCCTATGAAGCCATTTCAGAAATGCTCTTACTAGGTAATTTCCCAATAGTCTCTTTAAATTATGGGACAGGCAAAACAAATAAGGACAAAATATAAGACAATTGAATGCCACAACATTTCCCAGAATGCTTCATACACTAAAATTTAATACGTTAAAATATTTGGAATATTTTCAGAATTTGCAACTGCGACATTGGCAAGTAAAATTTGTAATATGGAGTTTTTATACAGTAGCAAAAACACAGTCATCCAAACACAGAACCCTTACTAAACTACCTAATCCAAAATGCATGTGGATAAGGGTTTCACCTGTAAATTGTTTTTTAAATTTTAAATCATTTGCAGTTTATTTAATTTGACATCTACTGGAATTCCTTGGTGACTTGCATTAGTATTTCTGGATTAACCTTTAAATCTGGTACTGGTCATATATTTTTCCTTCCCCATATTTTAAGTACTAGTTTGGCTACTGATGATTGTTCCTTATCCCTATGTAAACCACTAAAAGTAACATCAATGTTCCTTCTTCAAAGCTGGAGATCTGACATCAAGAATTTTATATGGGGAGTATCAAAAATAAGGAGGCAACCAAACAAGTTACTCCTTCTATCTATGGAACTACTTAATCATCTGATAGAAGTCAAATAAAACACGGCCTGAGGGCAAAGGCAGCTATAAGTATGAGGAATCCTTTCTACAAATACCATACAGATATGTATATATACATGCATATACATATATGTATAAATATATACATATAGTTTTCTGCTAATGCTTTGATAAGCTATTAAAGAAACCCATTTTTATGGTCTAGTTTCTTTTCTTTCTTCAGATGGAAGGCTTTTACCAAAGCTTGTAGACAATAGATCATGTAATGTTAGTAGCGGAAGGGACCTTAGCTATCATCTAGTTCAAGTCCCTCCTCTACAGATGAAAAATTTAAGGGGGAGAAAGCTTTTGCAACTTGTTAACATCCTACAGACAGTTAGCGGCAGAGTCAAGACCAGATCCCAAATGTGCACTGGTAACTAGATGAATGCCACGACCTCTAAATCGTTCTTACTTTGTAAACCACATTTCTCTTAAAATATTACATACCCACTTAACCTTTCAGACTGAATAATCAGCAACTTTGCTGATAATAGTGGGATGGCTTTTTTTTATGTTGAAAGTCCTGGGATAAAGGGATCCTGGATGTGAAATTCTGCCTGAAAGCCAGCCTGTTCGGGGTGGCCATGCTGCTGCTCTGTCTTCACCTTGCACTGACACTCCTCCACCAGCATCACCAGCTTGACCACGGGGGCCAGGCCAGTGCAGTTGAGCTGCAAGTGCATCGTGGTGAACTTGTCAGGCAGGCAGTGGGAGCAGAAGGTGTAGGGGTGCTGCGCAGCTTCAGGAAAACGAACAGACCCGCATTTTCCAAAGCAAAGGTTGTTCTGTACAACCACTTTCTCACAGTCTTCATGGGTGATAGTCTAAAAGGCAAACACATCTCCATTAAATTATCTTGAGTCATTTCTTTACCATACATGATGCCGAAGCTATAGACTGTAAGCGAGGATAACTTAGACTAAAATTTAAAAGTCTTTCCAGGGACTTCCCTGGCAGTCCAGTGGTTAAGACTTTGCACTCCCACCGCAGGCGGCACAGGTTCGATCCCTGGTCAGGGAACTAAGATCCCACGTGCAGTGCAGTGGCCAAAAAATAAATAAAAAGATTTAAAAATCTTTCCAATGTTGGATACAGTTTGCAATAATCAAGTGATGGTATCTTAAGAGCGTGGAGCTACCTTAACTAAATTTTTTTTATTGGATACATTAATGAATTAGCCTGTAGGAAATAACTAAGGTAATATGAAAATATTTTACTCTACACTTAAATGCCAAACTCTAAGAAATTTTGTCTAATTGGGTGTTACCTGTCTGAAAATTCTAATGGCTAGCTTCTTATAAGTAATGTGCCTTACCCTTCTGCTCTTCACAGTGCATTGTACAAAATAAATTCTCAATACATATTTGTTCAATTGCTCATAGAATAGATCAGAACATCCAGAGTTTAATTCTGTCCTATTTTACAGTGCTTATAGTACATTCAAATCTATTAAGTTGCATGGAGCAAAGCTGCAGCACCTGTGCCTCTAAATCATCATGCATGACATCATCTTTGCATCTCCCATAACCCCATACACCTAGCTTTATGTGCCCTTCAAAATATATGAGCCAAACACCGTATTTTTAATTTAATTAGTGATAGAATTCAAAATAAGAGTTCAAAGGAAATTTGCCCAATTCTTAGGAGCAATTTTCTAATTATACATGGGCCAACAAAGCAGTCATTATTATTTGATCATTGACTTGTCGTTGCTACATATCCTTGCCTTTTCAGAATACTTAACTGCCTTGCACAGTCAATTACCTTATAATAGTGCCTGCTTAATTGTGTAGCTTTACTGGACTGGAAAATTTTACTCTATCCTGCATTGCTTTTGGTTCAATATCTTTGTGTTTAAGGACCTGATGCAATTTCTCAATTTTAATTTAACATTTGGAGTGTGGGCTTTGCCACGACTGACTGGAGGCAGTAGATAATAGAATGCTCCTTTGTCTTAATAGTGTGGAATCAATCATAATAACTGCAAATCAGCCAACACAACATGAACTGGGAAACAGGTGTTTCTAAGAGGAGGAAATGTGATTTCACATCAAGATTATTTTTTGATAGCTTATGAGAAAATACGTTAAATTAAATCATTTTTGTGATAGTAATGCTAGAACTAATATGGCAACTTCTGCCTGACAACCTCAACATACTTTATAGACCTATGAAGTAAGTGTGAAATACAGGGGTTAAGACCATCATACATGCATGTTCGGGGAGGAGTCCAATGTATCCCATCTCATCTACAGATGGAATCCACCTGTTCATCCATATCCTAATAGAGTGTAGAGATGTAGCTAGAGGGAAGTTCTAGTGATTGCTCTAAATTTCCAATTTCCTAACTGGGGGTACAGTCAATTATCTCTCCAGATAAGACCACCCCGATGTAAAAATAAATAAATAAAACCCCATAAAACAAAGCTCTATGCCAACAATATGAATGGTTACTATTATTAGCAGTACCATCATACCATTCTTGTAGCATTTCCAAGGTCGGAAGGAAATTTAGGGAGTATGATCATACTTTGCCAAATCCACTGATGAAGGCCCAAGGACCAAATCCGGGAATGAGGTGAGACTCGGGCTCCCGGCACATTCGTCCCCTACTTTCCACCTGTCCCAGCTGTCCACCCCCTCCTGAAAACCTGGATCCCCTTCCCCACCCAGAACAAATACCTGGCTGAAGGGCACCGTCCTACAGGTCTCCCGATGGACTTCATGGCTTTTGATGGGCAGGATGATCCCCTGAGAAGCTGGACTCATTCTGAACATGAAATGGTGCCAGAATTTCTTGGCTTCTTCCCGAAGAGGAGATTTCTCCATTGGCATCCCATCCTTTGGCTGAGTGAGACCCTGGGTCCCAGGGAAGAATTGCTCACTGACTGAGCCCTGGGGTGGGTGCAGCTCTCTCTCAGGCTTCTTCCAGAATCTCCCAAACCTGGACAGCATCTTTTCTCTCTGCCTCTGGCCTTCCCCTGCAGTGCTGGCACCTATTAGGTGTGGCACTGCCACAAACAGATCTGGCTTCTCCTCAGCTTCCTCATGGTTGCCCAAGGAGAGCTCTCTGCGATGCCTTTCTAGGAGCAAGAGAGAAACAGAATTCTGACTCTGGCGGCCATCCCCGTGCCTTGCAGCTTTCCCTAGAGGCAGGAGTAGCAACAGCTGAAGGAAGAGAAGATGCATGCTGTCGGGGCCGAAGCTTCTTGCAGATTCACAGATGGTGAGGCCCCAAAAGAGGTTCACTCTCTGCAGGACTGTGAACAGGGTGATGCTATATATAGATACCTGCCTTGTGGAACGGGAAGGCAGGTGGTCAGTAGCCAGGCAGAGTAAACACATTCCTTGTTTGCTTGAATTATGTAGTGCTAATGGTGTCCTGCCTTCATTTTGGTTTTGTGTATTTTAGAAGGCCTCAGTGAAAGCCGGGGACCCAGGGGGTAATTAGCTGACACTTTATCGTCTGAGATTTAAAGAGCAGCATTAGTGAAAACAACACATTCTTTGCCCGGATTTCCCATCACTGTTGTTAGAAAGACCAGAGTAAGGTAACATTTGTGGTGCCTCTGCTTTGTGCTGGGATAGAACAGACATGTTTTAAAGAGAGAAGTATATCAGATAAAAATTAACGCATACATTTAGCCAAAGATCAGGCTGTCAGGCTCTACACACACACACGCACACACGCACGCACACGCACAGAAGCAGCCAAAGAAGTATATAAATGTCGTAAGAAAGGGAAAGGAAGAAATAGAGGGGTGTTAAGTTCGTTGAGCAGAGGACACTCCCTGTTACTGAGATGTGGTTAGGGTTGTTGATTTTTGCATGGTAACAAGTAAAGGGAGTATATTCTCCTTTTCCACACATGGAAACTCACAATTCCCAAGTAATCCCCTCACCTTAAGAATCAAATACTTGGTGCTAAATTTCACAACTGGTCAATCATCAGATAAGATTTTTCAATTGTTCACAAATTTCTCAACAGGATCCTAAGTAATAGACTGACAGCTCATTAGCCCTCACTGAGGATGGGGAAGTGTCTTTCCCTCAAGCTACCCTATTGACTTTTTTTTCTTTAATTTCTCTAAACAAAGAGCCAGACTTGAGAACGTGGATTCTAAGAAGCAGGTTTGATAGCTCTGGGCATGAAGCTGGCTGGTCCATTCTTTACCTTACAGAATCCACATCATCTTTATTCTGCAGTAATTGATGACCAGGTTAAATAAAGGTGAAGGCAAACATGACTCTTCAGGGATCAAAGGAAAATTTGTTAGATGATTATCATTCAAAAATGTTATAAATCAGATGAGGGTATGAGAAAGGAACACATCCACAAAAATGGAACCCCAGAGTTGAGTTCAATCTACCCTCTACACTAACTGGACAGTATTTCCATTGGGAATTGACTCAGTACTTGCTTGTATTTCTCCCCTTTTAATTTAATCACCATATTGTTTGCTTTCAGTAACACACATAAGCCTGGAACATGCCCCTCTCTTTTTTTCAGAACCGATTAATCTTTCTCTCCAAGAAGTGATCCATTTGAATATTTTTTTCAGACACTAGTGTTCTTCTTAATAGTCAGTCATGATTTCCGCGAGACAAAGCGTCAAGTCCTTTTACCTACAATAATGAATTATTTTTAAATGAACCATCATTTTTCCAGAAATCTGTCAGAAGAGATATATTCTACTTGTACCAAGTACCCATAGAACTTAAGGTACAGTTGATTCATACTAAATGAACATTAGTATTTGCCATTTCTTTTAAAGTGCTTTTTTAAAATTGCCTGCTGTTTGAATTTCTTAATTTCCCTCAGCCATCCAATGCAATAGGCCTTCCAGAGCTAGCCACTCTAAATATAAATTACATAATTTATATTAGCTGACCACTTAATTATAAATATGGTGTGGGAGCTAACTATGATATGTTTCCTGATTCCTTTTAGGCTTTACTTTTTCGTGCCTGAAGTTCCATTGCCATTAATCACAGTTTTTCCCCAGACTGAAGACTATTCCTGAAATTCTACTCGGGGTCTCAGGTTGCTTGTCTCTGAACATAGGGTACAATTCAAATAATTTCTTTTGAATTAAAATTTGTAGAAGACTCACTTTGTGGGCCAAGCATCATATCAGATACTAGAATATGATAGAAAATGATGAAAACTTACTTCCTGCCCTCAAGTAGTCTAGTGGTATCACACATTTTATAACTTTATTAAATTAGCTGTAGGGGGGGCTTCCCCGGTGGCGCAGTGGTTGAGAGTCCGCCTGCCGGTGCAGGGGACGCGGGTTCGTGCCCTGGTCTGGGAGGATCCCACGAGTTGGCTTTGAAGGATGAATTGTTTGCCAGATAGAGAACAGGATGGGTGTGGGGTGGCTTTTACAGACCAAGGGAGCCATACGTGAAAAGGCAGAGCCCTGAGAGCACATGTATTTCATTAATGGTAAAAAAAAAAAAAAAAAAATTAGCTGTAGGGATGTCAGTTATGCATATTTATCCTTTCCTTAGTCCTAAACCCCTCTTCTTCTGATACTAATTTTGGTGTTTATAAATGTCATTTAAAAATTACTCATGGAGCATTTCCTTTTGCTGTTCTGTCATTCCTGTTGAGAAAACGTGCAAATATCTTGAAGGGTAAATCTAGCAAACTAAAGCCTCTGTGACGAGTACTGTGGTACAGAAGTCTATCTCCAACCCCTGCCTTTTACAGTTAAGGGCAGATGACATTCTCCTTTCACCACTGTGTCCTTACATCAGTTCTAAAGCTGTGTATGTGGTAAACTATTACTCTTAAAAACATAAACATGTTGGTGTGGGTCCTCAGTCATACAAGCATACAGTGACCTCCCAATTTGGATGAAGCCAAATGGAGATATAGGTGTGGAGGGGGTCCCCAGACACAGCAGGGAGCCGCTGTGTGGAGAGAGCACCACAAATTGCTGGTGTCCTTAGTACCAAATGCCACAGCGAAAGGCAGGCCTGAGCTTTCGTGAGCCCAAGTCTGCCTAAATCTGCTTTCTGGGACCACCTCGAGCCTTCGTGCAAGCCAGAGGGTCCAATCTCATCCTTCATTCTTTCCGATTTATAACTCACGCTCGGCATGATCTGAGCTCTGAGTTCAACTTGACCTGGCTTCCTAGGCACTAGGATGTCTTCAGGACTGGGTGGAGCTCCCAGTGTGCCTGTGAGAGAACAGTAAAGCTATGTTTTCCTGTCCCTCTTACAGACTCTCAGAAAGGAGCTAAAGGCAGTCCAGTGCTCTCTAAGGGGAAACAGAGAAACTCAATTCTTTTGTAAAAACCCCAGACCTAAATCAACAAAAGGTGAGAGGCAGCGTTGGGGTAGGAGATAGGCATTAGAGTTAAAACTGAGAGACAGAAAGGGGAATTTGGGCTGATGGCTTTGTGGAAGAAATCTGTCTAGGGTACATGCCATTGCCTCAAAACTCTCTCTCTTTTCAAAATAGAGAATAGCCACAGGACCATGGGAGCTTAGATTATTTAAAAAGAACTCAAAAGAAGGCAAAATCTTTCTCTTCTTTTCCAAAGGACAAGGAAGACAGCAAATTAGGGTATGTGGTTTCCCCTTAAAACCTTTTAGCATGATTTAGTTTAGCAAATTATTTAAAACATAGTTCTCTCTCCCTCTCCACTCCCCTCCTTTCCACTTTCTATGGAAAGAAAACATTTGGCCTCCTTCCCCAAAGCTACGTCACTTATTGAACTCATGGATACACTCATTCATGCAGCATATATTTGAGTGCCAACTCTGTGCTAGGTCCTGAGGATAAAATAGTGAGGGTGTCCTCGTCCAGGCCTAAGGAAGTTTGCAATCTAGAGGGAGAGTATAGTTTATTCAAAATGAGTCACACAAGGAAAACCTAGGCAGACAACATTCCTAGCACTAATCAGGGACTTTCAGGTAGATCCAAATCCCAAAGGCACGGTGGACTGTCACACTGTGTTTCTACTAATTTTATTCAATAAACATTTGCAAATAAATATTGCACCAGGCAGTGCAATAGATGTTATGCACATTTTTTTCTTTTATTTTTGATTAGGTAATAAATAGGTGTAGCAACAAAATTGAGATTATACAAAAAAATTGTATGGTAAAAAGTAAATCTTCCTCTGAACTCCCAGGCTTCCTGTCCTGCCGTGGAGGCCATCAGTGTTGTCAACTTATTTATAGTCAATCGTTTAAAATTGTTACCGCTTATGGGCTGAATTGTGTCTTCCCCCTAATTTACATGTTGAAGTCATAACCCCCAGCACCTCAGAATGTGACTGTATTTGAAGATAGGGCCTTTAGAGAGGTAATTAAATTTAAATGAGGCCATTAGGGTGGGGCTTCATCCAATAAGGCTGATGTCCTCATAAGAAAAATAGATTGAGACAAAGACACACACAGAGGAAAGACCATGTAAAGACATAAGGGGAAGACGGCTGTCTACATTCTCAGAAGAGAGCCCTCAGAAGGAAACAACCTTACCAACACCTTGACTTTGGACTTCCAGCCTCTAGAACTGTGAAAAAATAAATTTCTATTGTTTAAGCCACCAAGTCTGTAGTACTTTGTTATGGCAGCCGTAACAAACTAATACATCACTCAAAGAGGAAAAATATGTAGACAATAGAAAAGGACAAGTACCAAATGGTGTACCATATTATAAAATGTCCCCATTTCCACTCTTCGGCACTGATCTCAGCATTACATGTTAAGGTCAGATTATTCTGTTAGCAGTTTCAGTGATCTTATCGCTCTGTGTCCAAAACACTCCCACACCGTAAAGAAGCATTTTACTTTTTGCAACTGGGGATGTATCTATTACTATGCACAAGTCATGGACAATACCCAAATTTGACAAATAAGCTACTTACCAAGATCGCACAGAGGGCTCCTACAAATCTGAGAAGTAGGCCAAGGCAGCCAAGGCGACTTCACTGTGTGCCCCACCATCCACCATCCATCCACCCCCCACTGCCTACAGCCTCTATTTATAGCTAGTCCAGGATGCCTTCACTGATGATAAACATCTGTCATGCTCCTTCTTCCTAATCCTTAAAATTTACCTGGATCATTTTTCATTTTGCAGAAAGCTGCTCTCAGGAAGAGTAATGTAAGTGGAAGTAACTCCAGATTTGAAGCCAGAAAAACTTTGGCTCGGCCTTACAGTTTATTAA